CCCAAGTAAATCAACTGGCGATACATTGCGATGTAGGGAATCGGTACCGAGTATGGCTTTGTGGACATCGTCAATGATAAACGTCCACACATACTGTCATCGAGTGCTCAGGTTGACCGTATGCTGTCATGTACCATATGGAGGAATAACTGAGCTATTCTAAGCGCGAAGTCGAAGCACCGTAGCTTGAGGCTTGCTGTTACCGCTTGGTACGACAGAAACTTAGGCACTTGTATCTACTAGGTGTCTAGCGTTAGTGCGATGATTGTGCACGAAAAATAGGCGACCGACATGAGGTGAGGGGGCGGCGAGTAGGGCCGCATTTACACAAAAGCATGAGAAAATCCAGTCTTGTATTAGCTACGGGTCAGACAACGGAGGACACTGGACCTGAAGGCATGGTGAAACCTGTAGGAACCAGTACTCAATTCCGTAGCCGCCTATTGGTGTGTCTTGGAAAGTGCTCGTGAGGAGACAGAAGCTAGAGCCCTACGTGATCGTGATATGAATCGGGGGAAGTGAGGTTTTGAAGTAATGGAACGGATTAGAAACTTGGGATGACTGTGAATAGGGCTGTCAAGATATGTAATGATTTCTACAACTTACAAAGCTTCTCCATCAAGCGTGAGTTAGTTGATATATTTTTCGTTGTATCGTGGAATCTTGCTTTTTCCCTTGTATATGCTGAGACCTACTGCTGCTACGCTAGCCGTCTTCTCTCGCATTGGTTGTCGTGTTTGCGATAGAGGAGCTAGGTCATCTGAGAAGTCTAGACCGTCTAGATGCGTCCTAGCTGTCCATCGGATACCGTGCTTCCCTCCAGATGTTGACGTCTTCAAAATCCATTCGATCACCAAGAGAAAGAGAAAGGGTGAGAGTAAGCAACTTTGCCTGACAACGGTCTTCACCTCGGACGGTTCTGTCAGCTGTCCTCCGTGCACGATTTTGCAGTTTAATCCGTTATAAGAATTCTGCATAACGTTGACTATTTTCTCAGGCATGCCTAGTGTCGAAGAAGTCTCCATAGTTTTGTCCGGCCCACGCCATCAAATGCTTTCTCATAGTCAATGAAGTTGATATAGAGTGGTGAGTTCCATTCAATCGATTGTCCCACAATGATCTGTAATGTTGCAATTCGGTCGATGCACCATCGATCCTTACGAAATCCAGCCTGTTGATCTCGAGGTTCGGCGTCTACGAAGTCCCACCGTTTTGCCGCCCATGATTTGTCTAATGACCATACTGATCTCTGCAATTGTCGGTGGACTAACATCGATTGGGAGGTCCGTAGATCCTCGTTCGATGTTGGGTGGGTTCAATAGAGCTGGTCGGCTCAAAGGTTCCTTAAAGTGCTCTACCCACCTATTTCACGGCTTTTCAATGCTGCTGATTACTTTGCCTTCCTTGCTTTTCACTGGTCGTTCTGGTTTACGATATCTTCCAGGAAGATTCTTCGCTATATCATATGGTTGTCCCACGTTTCCTTCTCTTGCAGCTTTTTCCGCCGTCATTGCTAGATCTTGCACATGTTTACGTTTGTCGGCTTCGATGCTCTTCTTCACTTCCCTGTTTGCTTCTGTGTATTCAACTTGTGCGTTGGATTTCTCTACTCTTGTTCGGTTGGTGTTGATTGCTGCCTTCTTGTTCCTCCTTTCTTGAATTCTTTGAAGGGTACCAACAGAGATCCGTTCCTTGTGATGGTGCTTCTTGTGACCCAGAACCTCGTGACATGTTGAAGTGATTGCCTGCTTTGTTACCTCTCCATTGAGTAGATCGTCCAAGGCCTGGAACCTATTGCTGAGGGCTATCTTAAATTCGTTGAGTTTTACGACACCCCAAAGAAGGCCGTATTAAACTTGTGTGATGTTGTCTGCCCCGTTGTTCAGTGCTTCTTTAGTTTCAGTTTCATTTTGGCGGTCGGCAAGTGGTGATCTGAGGCTACGTCAGCTCCTCTCTTGGTTCTGAGTAGTGTGATACGGTGAAATCCATGTGGCTTTGTGTATGCGCTTGTGTGGGAATATTGTGCTACCGATGACCAGTTTGTTGAAAATACATAGGTTTGCAAATCTCTCACCGTTTTCGTCCCTTTCTCCCAGTCCATGTCGTCCCATGACGTCTTCATATCTAGTGTTTTCCATGCCAACCTTGGCATTTAGGTCTCCCATCAGAATCGTCGAATCCTTTGGTGAGCATCTGTCGACGATTGACTGCAGTCTTTAGTAAAATTGATCTTTAACGTCTTCATTCTAGTTGTTGGTAGGTGAATGGCATTGGATGACGTTCATTGTAATGCCCATTTCCTTTGTTTTGAAGAATGCTTTGATGATCTTGAGTCCATGAGATTTCCATCCTGTCAGTGCTTCTAGTGCTTGTTTAAATAGCATCAGTACAACTTCTTGTGTGTGTGAGGCATTTTCTTCGTCACGGCCAGAGTATAACAGCAGCTCTCCTGAAACTAGTCTTAGTTGTTCCACTTGTGTCCAATGCGTTTCACTAATTTCAAGCACCTCCAGGTTATGTCTGTTCATCTTTGAAGCAATTTGGAACAGTCTTTTGGTCTCCCACATTGTCCGAACATTCCATGTACCTAAAAGAATGGTTGCTCTGGTTGTGAGAAGGGGCATTTGCCTCGTGACTTCCGTAGGAACTCGGCTATCATCATGAGACACCATAACTCTTTTAAATGAAGACCATCTAAATCCCAGGAAAGAGTTAAAATGGTTTGAATTATGTTTTCTGGTTATTGTTTTTTAGCGAGTTAGTTTTCTACGGAATGAGGTCAACAAACCGACGCCGTACCCTTCTCCCATTGTATGAGCCTTGTAACGTCAGTGGCCCTAGAAGGACTCCAGGCGGGGGTTGTGCATCACAAAAGGAGGAACAAATTAACAGGATAAAAATTTAATGAACTGAATTACTGATTCTAGTGATCGAACAAAACATAGGAAGCAATACTCAAAAATAATGAATCACATCGAATTATAAATATCAAATAATAACACAACTCAGTACTCAGTAGAAGATTAAAACTGAATTCAGCTGAACTACTGCAGTCAAGTTTGAGTCGTATCCCCTAATATCTTTAACCATAGAATCCAGTGGTCGCCCATACCCCATCCAGAAAGTCTTCATTCCGAACTACTATCCGTCATCTAACGTTGAAATAAACGATAGATAGGAATATGTTGTATCTCCCAGCTATCTTGACGCTGAATTTCCCATCAACGTGTATAGCATTTTACATTATGCTTTAAAAATAATTTTAGATTCACTTAGAAGTTTCACTATACCTGTCTATTACTTTAGAGACATCAGTAATCAAATAACAGTAACTGATGCTTGTTTCTTACTTTTATTTGCTAATTTGTCCAACTACAAAGCAAAATAGAAAAAGTTGCTGTTAAGTAAACTATCCTGTTTATAACCGGACGAAGATCTCTTCCTAACTAAATGTACTTTGTGCAATGCAGTCACTAGCAAATAGATAAGTGCAGCGATCAACACGTCACTCTTTTGGATCACGTTTTGGACCAACTGAAGCCAGTCTTGCCGCAGAATTTAGCATTATTAAGCAAAAACAGCATCTTAATACTCCTGCGTTTTCATCATATGAGTAAAGAAGACAGAATTATGATAGCTTTATTCCTAACTTTGGGGTTAAATTTCCAGTGTTGCTTCTATGGTTGACTAGACATCCCAAACTTAAGTACGATGGACATCGTTTAATGTTTCTGTGAGTGTCTGGATTATTCTTTAATAACGCCCGGAGTATAACAGCAGCTCCCCTGAAACTAGTCTTAGTTGTTCAACTTGTGTCCCATGCGTTTCACTAATTTCAAGCACCTCCAGGTTGTGTCTGTTCATCTTTGCAGCAATTCGAAACAGTCTTTGAAGACAGACTAGCTGGTAGGTTATTTGCGAATCCAGCAAAAGTGTCTTCAAAATGTAAATTTTAAAATATTGAAGAATTTCTAACATTCAGGTATTTTAACAGGACTTGGTTGTGTTAACATTATCGAGCATAAGGTTTCAAACAAATATTCCATTTCAGTTTGAAAGCAATTCGCTTTGGAGAATCACTTGTTATCACTCATAAGCAAACCGCATGAAGTCTGCATCTTAGTTTCTATATATTCACCAAAGAATATACAAGCACTCAAGTTACTGCAAAGACATGCTGATCTGTTTCGATGCAATTTTAGAATCCTTTCTGTGGATATATATTGCATATATGTAGTAAACAATTCCATTATTAAGTTTATACAACTGGCAGACCATCAATGTAGTTGATCAGCTTCATTGATTAAAGTATACCCAGGCTCGAAGGGAATACTGCTACCTCTCAACTTCCGTAGTCACATCTTGCAATCAATACCTAATGTGGATTACACAGGTACTGTGGCTATCTCGATTACCATAAAGAACGAATATAAGGTGAATACAGAAATAGATTAGTAAGAACAGTTTTAAGAAGCACAGTGCGACCATAACTTACATTCTATGGCTTGAAACTCATCGATGCGCATTGGTTGGTCTCAACCTCAACGAGGATTGACAAAATGTTCAACATTCAGTGGATTTCCTGTCGTACCATTCGGCGAAGGCCCAAAGAATGAAAAATTTCGAAGGATGACAGTGAGCGTTCAGTTTATTTTAATGTATAACTAACCAATCCTGATGACTGTGACGACCCGACAAGCATTATAAACATGGAAAGTGATTTATGACAGCACTTCAAACGTTATATTAGATTATCAAATTTGTAGATCACTATCTTATATAATCAGCATCACGCAAGTTTGTTCTCCAAGCATATCTCGACATATATATGTGAGAAATGGAAATCAGTTTTGTCCATATTCCCATATAATTTCGTGAATTAAGTACATAAATTATGCATCGGTAATGCTGTATAGTGCGGAAATAGGCCCCAAGCCAGGCCTAGGCACAATCACGTGAAACAGATTAGAATAAATCAATATTTATCGATCCATTATTCAAAAGCACCATCTTCTTTTTGGTATACAAGCCGTGTATGTATAATTCGCTGATCAACTATTGGGATTCAGACATTAGAAAATAACGCTTATATGGAAGAATCTGATTCTGCTGATAAACCTGCAAAATTTAAATACAGCCTCTGTGGGACATGTTGTACAGCACAAGGGTATGGAACTCTTTGTTTCATTTGTCTTATGCCAATATGCGCTATGGAAGAAATAATCAGAAATATAACTAATATGCCACGTCCCTGTTCCTACTTTTGTGCTTCTATCATGACAATGCTTTCATGTTGTCTCTGGGGTCCCATAATAGGGTGTTTCAGAAGATCGTTTCGACGGAGACGAGGAATACGAGGATTAATATGTTGTGACTGTTGCTTCTCATGTATCCTACCTTGCTGTGCAATAACTCAGATGCTACGTGAGATCAGAGAAGATCAACTTAACTGTCCAGACACATCAGAAGCATACTCGGTCGAGGAAAGCGGAAGCACAGATAGCTAGAACATGTGAAATGGACACAGGTATTTATAAGACAGTTCAAATACTACTGTGATGAAGTGTGAGGTAGCGATTACAGTAAATAATAACTATATATATATATATTTAACATACCGGTTTTCTTTTCTTACGGTTAGTATTGTAACACGACTGGGGGGCTCTCCAAAAAATTGCGCTACGTCGGCTGCATCTGAAAGAATGGTCAGATGTAAATTTAAGAACGCTATTAACCATGCCAAACACTCACTTAATCCAGGTAATGTACAACATCAAATGTGTTATTTTACAGATAGAGAAAAGCAGCCCAAAGGAAGCACAATGCGTACCAAGGCTACTATTAAACGACTTAACATGTATCGCAATTTCAAGGCCAAAAGGTTTATATAGCATTATAATGTGATATTGACGCAGAAACAAAAATGGAAAAATTGTTCGCCCTGCACCTTTTCAATCAACCCTCCCTTCCGGTACAGTCGCACGGGTTGAGCCTAATAGAAGATGGTTTGGTAGGTTGCTCGTTGCTACTAATAGGAATATCTAGGCAACACACGTATTATCAGTCAAGATACCTTACAGGGTTTCAAGGAGGCAATGAAGATTCGAAATCCATACGATATTGTTTTACGTCAAACGCGCTTACCTATATCTCTTTTAGACGAAAAGAAGACGGTAGTAGTTTATTCTATTCATATCTTTGTTGTAGAAAACCAAAAGTGCTCTTTTGACATCACAGAGCTACTCCTACGTATTTGGCAATAAGGCACAGCGTAAAAGACCTTCATTGGAGTTTGATGATCTGTCGGTAAATTAAGTCGTATGTCTCAGTTTTCTAAAACAAGCTTCTGTCTCGCCTTTTTGATGGATTTTATGAATAGTTAGTGCTCCTCACAGAAGTCTGTAATCGCTTAAGTCTTATCCATAAATACCTGAATAGCCACACAAGTTGAATGGAGTAGTAATAATTGATCATTTAGACTGTCATCTAATAAAAGCGGCTGAAACCGCTGATAACTGGTTTCTTGATTCGAAGTGTCAACCAATAAGGACCTCGTGTTTCGACACTTATTATACTCCAATAGTAGCCAACAAAAGCTTGTAAAAAAGCATCTGATAAACCCAAACCAGCAATAATTCATAAAGTTATTTACTTTTTTCTTGAAACATACCAGGTGTGAAACTCGGTAAGGGTTTCACGGTTGCGAAAGCCCGTCATATCATAAGTAATATCGTACTCACTACTTACTTACTTATGCCTGTTACCCCTAGTGGAACTTAGGGCGCCGACCGGCTTTTCTCCAACCAACTCTGTCTTGCGCTTCCTTTACCAGTTCTTTCCAGTTTTCGTTCATTCTCCTCCTATCTTTCTCTATTTCTCGGCGTAATGTGTTCATTGGCCTTCCTCTTTTCCTTTGACCCTGAGAGTTCCAAGTGAGAGCTCGTCTTGTGATGCAGTTCGGTGCTTTCCTCAATGTGTGTCTATCCACTTTCACTGCTTCTTCCTGATTCCCTCCTCCACTGGAATCTGGTTTTTTCTCTCCCACAGTAGGTTGTTACTGATGGTGTCTGGCCAATGAATCCGAAGTATTGTGCGTAGACAACTGTTCATAAATACTTGTATCTCCTGGATGATGGCTTTAGTTGTTCTCCAAATTTCCGCTCCATACAGTAGAATTGTCTTGGCATTTGTACTGAAAATCCTGATTTTGATGTTGACTGATAATTGTTTGGAGTCCCAAATATTTTTCAATTGTAGAAGTGCCGCCCTTGGTTTGTCTGATGGCCATACTGATCTCTTCAATTGTCGGTGGACTAACATCGATTGGGAAGTCCGTAAATCCTGGTTCGATGTTCGGGGGGGTTCAATCGAGCTGGTCGACTCAAGGGTTCCTTGGTGCTCTACCCACCTATTTCGCGGTTCTCCAGTGCCGCTGATTACTTTACCTTCCTTGCTTTTCACTTGTCGTTCTGGTTTACGATATCTTCCAGGAAACTTCTTCGCTGTATTATGTGGTTATCTTATTAGTTTTCTAAACTAAGTACGACTGTATTATCTTTGAATGGACGTGATGAGCTGAGCCGTCACTTTATAATTATTTCATTGTTCTACCGCATTCTTCTTGGTACTGATCACTGATGAAAGCTCTGTTTTATGTGTTTGCGGAATTCAGTAATGTGTGTTATGTTGGACGTGGGTTTCTTGTGATGTGATTGGACAAGTTTCTATAAGTAGGATACTAGTAATCTGATATACACAATATGTGACCGAGTGACGGTTACTAACGAGACTGTGCAATTGACTTACACCCCCGAAGAATTAAAAATCTAAAACAGTACCACAAGCCAGATGAGTAGTTTCTCATGTAATAAAATAAAATACTTATGCCTTTTGCCTCTCATAGAGCATAGGCTACTGACCAGCATTCTTCAGCCAACTCTCTCCTGGGCTCTCCTCTCTAATTGTCCTCAAGTCCTATTCAGCCTTTCGATGTCTGCAGTTTCTGGTGCATCATGTCCATTGGTCTTGAGAGTTCCAAGTTAGGGCTTACATCTTGATGTTGTTGGGTGCTTTCGGTAATGTTTATCCTACCCATCTCAATCGTTTCTTTTAAATTCCCTCCTTAAATGAAAGTAGGTTTGCTCTCTGCCATACTAAGTTGTTGTTTATGGTGTTTGGTCAACTCTGCCTGGAGCCCTTCTAAGGTTATTGCTGGTCCCAAGCTCAAATAAAAGTGGGCAATTGGGCACGGGGTTAGCGACCCCTTTCGGTCTAGGACTTACTAATAAAAGCTAAGCAGAAGAAATAATTTCAACCATTAACTCTGCCCTAAGAGTTAGGTCCTTATTTAGGACAGTTATGACACATGGTGAAAGCCGAGTTTCTTTGGAAGTCACGAGGTCTATCTGACAACTAGAGCGAAAATAATAAGATGAAATGCTTATATGCAAAATCGGAATACTAACTAAACATAATAAACTGTCACAGGTGATTCTCGACCGTAGCTGCTACCTTAACGTGGTTGTCGGGCTTGCCCATCGTGATGACCCAACCGAGCTATATTGGCTGGAACATATGTTCCTATAGGTTCTACCAAGCCAGAAAGGTCGATTGGAGAACGATGACACTAAAAGCAGCTACTCAAGGTCTGAGGGCGAAGTCGTACTGCTGACTGCAGAGGGTGTGACAGCAGTGAGGTGTTTTCTTCGGGCAAACAGCATCTGCAGCGATGCTGCCTTCTCACAAGGAAGGAAGGGTTAGAAAAGTTCGACCGTAAAAAAGTCACGCCTCACCTTACGTCAGGGATTTCCGTCTCCGTCGGTAAGGGTGCCCACTAAGGGCTTTCAAGAGCGGAGCTAATACTCAAAAAACCTTTAATAAAAAGGCCGTCCGTGACCGGCTCCAAGCAGTTGTCCCTTGGACTCTGCGGTCACGCTCCCAGGTCGTTGAGACCTACACTAATCTATCTTCCTTTTCAGGTACCCTAAGAAACACCCTTCCACGGTGTGGGCAACCGGGAAGTAACATCCGCGTTCATACCCATAAAAGCACACGAAACCAAATCTGTCACAATCAAATCCTTTCTACACCTCTTAATAACTCTCTTATCTCCTCGACCAACCCTTTCGATCGATTATCACCTCACGCCACTGAACCAAACGGTATGAGCTCACGAAACATTATTCCTGGTCTCTTGAAACCCCGTACGAAATTACATATAGGCACTTTTAATGTTCGGACCCTATGCCAAATAGGGCAACAGGCCTCATTGGCTAGGACTTTGGAATCTGAATATCGCGCCATCGATGTATGTTGCGTCTCCGAAACGCGCATACATGACTCGAGTAAAATCATCAATTTGATCTCACCTAGTGCAGATAGAGAAACAACAAGGTTTACGCTTCGTGTTTCTGGAAGCCCTGATGCTACTTCTTGGGGCCTCGCCGGCGTAGGTATAGTATTAAGTCCTAGGGCAGGACAAGCTCTCTTAGACTGGATCCCGATAGACAGTCGGTTATGCGCTGTCCGACTAAACGGGACAGTAAGGATTCGGAAGCATAGGGACACTCGCCGTTGCCTCTTCGTCGTATCTGCCTACGCTCCCACTGACTGCAGTTCAGACGACATGAAAGATGAGTTTTACAGAAACCTCCCTAATCTTCAAAAACCAGAGCACTCTGATATAGTAATAATGGCTGATGACTGTAATGGTCCAGTAGGTAGACTCAGCGAAAAGGAAAGACACCTGGGTGGATTTTATAGTTTCGTGGCTAATAGAACAGATAATGGCGACCATCTGCTGCAGATATGCTCAGATAAGCGCATATTCCTATCTAACACTAGGTTGAAGCATAAGGTAAAACACTTTGTCCTGGCGACCACCGAAGCCGACCCAACTAGATCACATTGCTATATGCCGTCGGTGGGAAACGGACATAAGTCCTCCTAGTCTTTGTGAAGTTGAGAAAGCTATAGGAAATCTGAAGCGAGGGCGAGCAGCGAGTCCTGATAAATTGTCCCCTGAGATTTTTAAGGATGGTGGTCCAGCTTTATCAGCGAGGTTGACCGAGATCTTAGGAAGAATCTGGTAACTGAGCGTAATTGCATCTGACTGGTCTCAATCACTGATTGTCCTAATTTATAAGAAAGGACAAAGGCGTTGCAACGTAGAACTTGGTACGTAAGTACATCAGTTCAGGTCGCCATACCACATCAGCACAGAGATGTAATTGTCAATTCAAATCCCATAGTAGTAGAGGTAGTAAGGGAATTAGAAGTAATCGGAGAGGTTAGGGTTAGAAGATACTATTCAAGAAGTATGATTCAGTGAGAAAAGTTTAGAGAGTCGAAACTAGAGGTGTTGAAGAATCCAGAAGATTAGGATTTGAGAGAACACAAAGAATAAATGCACCGGCGCGATTGCGAACGATTTTGAGCCATGTCATTCAAGGTCTCTAACTATCGATTATTATCATCTCGCGGACCCCAACCAGGTAGTCGACAATTACCGACATGGCTAAGTCCACTAATCAATAATGTATGAACAAATAAAAGAATATAATCTTCAAACTGTTACTGTACTGAAATATATATATATATATATATATATATATATATATATATACACGTTAAACTGCTACTACTACTAAGTAAGCAAAGAAAAACATTTTAATCAGTCAGTCAGTTGCAACGTAGAACTTCGTACGTATGTACATAAGTTCATGTCGCCATACAATCACATTAGCACAGAGACGCAAATGTCAAATCAAATCCCATAGTGATAAAGATAGTAGAGGTATTAATGTTAATAAAGAAGACTATGGTTCGAAGATATTATTCAAGGAATATAATGCAGTGAGATAAGGTTAGAAAGACTAAGGTAGAGGTGCTGACGAATCCAGAAGATTAGGATTTGAGAGAGCTCAAAGAGTGGATGCACCTGCGCCATTGCAAACGATTTTGAGTCATGTCGTTCAAGGTCTCTAACCATTGATGACTTTCGTCTCGCGCACCCCAACCAGGTAGTCTACATCTATCAACATGACTCAGTCCACTTGTCAGTGACTTCATGGATTTCTGCCATAATTTGGTCTGGCCGCCCCTAACTTTCTTCCAACCTACTCCTACACCACAAAACATAGCTCGTCGAGGCAGTCGGTGGTTAGGCATACGTAACACATGTCCCAACCAGCACAACTGATGAAGTTTCACCACTTCATCTATTGATCTGCCATCCTTACCTAGTACTCGTTTCCTAACGACAGCATTGCTTACTCGGTTGTCCCACGGTATACGAGCAATGCTTC